GGTGATCTGAATTTCTGGAACCTAAACTTTTGGACGTCTGGGCAGTCTTCGGGCGCGCTGGGTGTCGCCGTTGATGTCACCGCCGTCGTCGTCGTCGTCACCGTCACCGTCACCGTCACCGTCGTCGTCGTCGTCGTCGTCGTCGTCGTCGTCGTTGTCCGTCGGTCGTCGTCGTCGTCCGTCGGTCGTCGTCGTCGTCGTCGTCGTCGTCGTCGTCGTGGTCGTCAACGTCGTCATCGTGGTCGTCGTCGTCGTCGTGGTCGGTCTTCGCTTCTTCTTCTTCTTTCTCCTTCTCTTTCTCCTCCTCTCCCTCGTTCTCCTTGTCCTCCTCGTCCTCCTGAATCTCCTCCTCCTCTCCTCCTCCTCCCTCGTCCTCCTCGTCTTTTTGGTGACCCGAGGCGCTCCTGGCCACTCGAAGAGCAAACGGCACGCCACGACAAGAGGGTGGGTCACAAGCAAGGTGTGGTCGGGGGAGGCGGGGGCAGGGGCAAAGGGGGGGCGGAACGAGGGAACAAAGAGAGGAAAAAGCAAAAAAGACGGGCCGAGCTTGGACTCCGACCCTGGAACAAGCCCTCCGAGGAGCCTCGGGCGCTCCGAGCTCTTTTCGGGTCGGGCGAAAGAGGGGGATAGCACAGGGGGGTTTGAGAATCAGCTCACGTAGCTGATTTTCCCGGCGCCCCCCGGCGCCCGAGGCGGCTATGTATCGAGGAATGGGCCGCTCGGTGAAGCCGAAACCAGCTGCATGCAGCAAATTTCGAACCCCCCCCTTTCCCAATCCCCCCCTTTCGTCCGGCCTGGTCTTCTTGGGGCTGGGACAGGGAAGCGGGAGCTTCCCTCCACACTTGGAGGAGGCCCCCCCCCAACCTTACGCAGGACGTAGCGGGACGATCCGAACCGACAGGCCTCGCCCGGTGGAGCTTGCGATGAGCCTCGGTCTCCAGACAGCAGGCGGCAACTTTTTTTTTTGGTTGCTGTTTTTTTGTTTTTAAAGAAAAATAAGCATTATATATGTGTATGTACAAATACGCATATACTAGAGCGGGGTTAACTTTGCGGCGGGGGGGGCCCGATCCAGGACCAACAGCCGGCAACACAGCTCATGCAGATCTATGACATTTCCCGAGGGGGCACTCCGATGGAGACCCCGTGGCCCAGGCGCAGGAGCGCCGACAGGCCGCCGGAGCTTGCCGAGCAATGAAGGCTCAGTCGACGGGAGCGTGGCGCGCACAGGAGCCATCCCGACACACAACGCTTACAGTCAAACACACGATTAAGAAAACTATCAATTGAGCAAGCTGGGCCAGCTTTTCAGGAATTTCTCAAGAAAACGCTGGGCCAGCTTTTTGGAGCCAGGGACGTACACGATTCATGTCCAGGATCCAAGGCTACCGATCCCCTTGAGAAACCGAGCAAGTTTTCCGGCAAATTGGTTAAGAAACGCTGGGCCAGCTTTTCGGCGGGAGGTTTCTTAATCATAAGCGGGACCGTAATACTCGATCTCCGCAATTCTTAAACGTTGGCCCACCAGTCAACAACCGTGGACCCAGCAACGCGGCTGCGCGTGTCAAGATCGGCAGCCTGGTCCATGGCTTGATGGGTTTTGACCTTCCGGAGAGAGGTCCGCGCAGACCGCCCCATTCCCCGATTCATTCCCCTCCAGAAAACAAGCAAAAATGAGCTGGGGAGCCCCCCCCCGGCTTCCTAGTCGATCGAACCCCAGCGAACACCGACTGGTCATCGGCGACGAAGGGATTGGAGGGGACCTCGGGGCCAGAAATCTGTCTCCTGAAAGCGACCAGTGCAAGGCAAGTGCAGCGTGCCCGGCAGTACCAGAAGTCTGGGCAAACTCCTTGGGGAGAGGACGAACGACTCCACTGACCACCCTTTCGCCTTCCATGCGCACTGCTCCAGCTCCTGCCCTGGCAATCTCTTCTCGATTTTCATGGTACCAGAGGCCATCCATTAAAACATCATCTTCTGTGGGCAACCAGCATGGTTCCGACTCTCCCGTCCCCCTCGAACAGCCTAAGACCACAATCTGGGGCGGGAGGCGGCGTATCCTGGGAAGCTGTAGAAAACCTGGAACCGAGAAGGGAGTTGGGACCAGCAGCAATGATCTGCGAAATCAGCTCATCACTAAAATACTCTCGCCTCCGAGCAAGAGGCTTCTCGTGCTGGCGAAGCAGCCGAGCTCGGTGCCAAGTGTCATCGTACATAGGGAATTCATCACTCTCCTTTTAGTTCCACTTAGCGAGAGCGGAACCCGTGGGGGTGGACGCACACAAAAATTGACGATAAATCTGTTCGAGGTCGGCTGGCACAGCTTCTGCTACCCTGGCCACATGGCAAGTAGCCGCAGCTCGCCAATCAAATATCCTTGGCTGAGGGGGCCGTAGATATTCTGGAGCAGGACCTGCGAAAGATCTGAGATGAAAGCTTCGGCAATCTGCTGGGGAGGGGACTCAATGCGAATCCATTTCCTCCCCTGAGAAGGTCCCGAAAAATGGCCGGCCCCTCCTGGGACAATCCAACTCTTTCAAACCACAAAACCATGGCAGAGATGGGACCCCTGGCGACACACAACAAGGAACGTCCAGCAGTTTCTGCAAACTGACCAGATGCCGCTCCGACATTTTTGCTCCACTCACCAGGGGGGTCAGTGCGTCACGATGCTGTGGGCCTCCGCGAGGCCCTGGTGGGGAGACGTGCCACCCCTCCCACGCATACCTCCGAATGGGACCAACTGCAAAATGAATAGGGCCCCCTCCTCCTGGCACGTACCCTGGGGCGCCACCGGGTTCGGTCTCAAACACCCCATGGAAAGCGCTGAAACGCCGCTCTGACCGCCTGACCTTCTGGGGGTCTCCTCCTCCTCCTCCTCCTCCTCCTCCTCCGCCCCCTCCTCACTGGTGCTGGCCATCGCTCGGACGTCCATTCCCTGTGTTTTTTTCGGTTTCGTGCGTGGTTTTTTGCCAAATGATCACGGATTCTCCTCGATAGTCCTCCCCGAAGGAAAAATGCACACGTCCGAGCGATGCCAGGTGGTCAGACCCATGGGCCTTCACCACCCAGGGGGGGACCGTCAGGGGGGGACCGGCTCACGGGGGGAAGCATCGAGCTGGAATAGGGCGACGCCTCGCCGAGAGATCGGCGGTAGGCCCCCCTATAATATAGGAGGCCTGTGCTTCCTGAGCTGAGGAGGACGGCGGTGATGTCCATGGCCCGGCCGCGTGCCCCACGCGCTTCCATACCCTGAGTTCGTCGTCGTTGTCGTCGTCGTCGCGGCACAACACTGCACCGGAGGAGGGGGAGGAGGAGGGGGACAAGCTAGGTGCGCTCGCGTCATGTCTGACGCCCTACCCCTCCCTCCCATCCCTTACCATGACGTAGAACTCCTCTCTCTTCGCACAGTCGGATGTCGACCAGGGCAATGATTGCGAGAGGGTGCGCGATGCATCGTAGAGCACGGCATGGCATGGCTTAGAAGAGCAAGGCAGAACGTAGAATGTCATAGCATGGCGTGGCATTGCGTAGTGAAGCATTGCATCACAAAGCGTTGGCAAAGCGTGGCATCGCACAGCGGCGCAGCACAGAACACCGCACATCATGTCATGGCAGGGCACAGGGTTCCTGGGAGGGTAAGTGGATAGTCTTCGAAGGGTCTGGGCCGGTCTTGAGTCGCGGCTCCATGTGTAGCTTCGTGGGCTCCGCGAAAGGCTCCCCACAAGGCGGGGCTGATAGAGAGCACCCGCTGGCTCTGCTGGCAACATCGCCTTCTGAAAGCAGAAAAGGGGCTCCCGCTTGATACTTCCTCCAAACACCAGCGCCCCCAAGTGGAGGGGGCCTTCTGCTGACCAGGCACTAAACGAATCGACGCCAGATGAGTAATCACTTCCGATGTTTTTTTGTTTCTGAGGGTAATTTTCTAGATTGGATGCCTATTTGGAAGGACCGAAAACGCCCGCGCTGCAGCGAGAGCGCGTTTTGGAACAACCAGAGGCGCAGAAATGGGGCCAGCGCTGCAGCGGGAGCAACAGTTTGAAGGGCCGAAAAAATCGGATTGCCAAAAACCCAAATGCAAACCATGAAATGAGGCTCGCGCTGTAGCGGGAGCACGATTTGGAACTAGCGGAAGCGCGGAAATGAGGCCAGCGCTGTAGCGGGAACACGATTCGGAACAAGCGGAAGGCCGAAAATGAGGCCAGCGCTTCAGCGGGAGCAGCATTTTGAAACAAACCCAAGCGAAAACCCAGTTCCTGGGAATCCTGCGTGTAAAAAAACAATGCTCGGAGGGGGTCCGGATATCTTCCAGACGTCATCAGGGGAGAGAGGAAGGAATAGTATTCATATCGTGTAATTGTGTGGGGGGGGGGGAGGGAGGAGGAGGAGGGAGGAGGAGGAGAGAGGAGGAGGAGGAGGAGGAGGAGGAGGAGGAGGCGGAGGAGGAGGAGGCGGAGGAGGAGGAGGAGGAGAAGGAGGAAGAGGAGGAGGAGGAGGAGGAGGAGGAGAAGGGCCCCCAAGACCAATGCCCTCACCGTGGCGAACCCGCGCGGTCCTGGGCGGGGTGGGCCATCGGGCCCCTTGTCGCCGAGGCCGAGGAATCGGCGATCTCGCGGGTCGAGCCAGCCCCCCCCCCCCCTGCCTGCGCCTCGCCTCCCCCCGCTTAGCGTTGCCCCCGGTCGTGGCGGCCCGTGGATGTCGAAGGGCCCTAACCGGCATAACCATCCGCACACATTGGAAGGGACCTCTCGAGCTTGCGTCAGGCCTGCGCAGTGTCCATAAGAGCACGAACGTGCAGAAGCAAGGTGCGGACGACGCTGCGAAGCCCTGGGAGAGCAGAGCATTGACAGCGCGAGTTCCAAATCTGCAAGTGTCAGCGCGGATTTCTACGCGCCAAGGGCGGCGCCGGAGGCGCTGCCAGGGGCCCCGGAACAGATACAAGAAATTCGCGCAGAGCGTCGAAAAAATGTTTCTGTTCTTTTCTTTGCCTTTCGAGGCTCCTCCCGCGCCGCCGCCAGCTCCGCCGCGGCCGCGCTGCACTCCGCCCGCAGCGCCTCGCACTCCGCCCGCACCCCGTCCAGCAGCTCCGACGGATCCTCGCCCCGAACAGGAATATTTTTGGGACTGAACAAACATTTTGTACCGAGCAAACATGTTTGAGACCGAACCGCATATTTTGTTGGACCGAAAAAGCATGTCCAGAGGGGCCCAGGGACAGACACACACATAAGTAGACACACGTCCCAAGATCCCGCATATTTTCCCTCAAGTTCTGGACGTTAGTATTCCCCCCACTGCTCCTATTTTCTCATATTTCCTGGGAGTCTACGATTCACTGTGTCTGTGAGCTTTCTTTACCTCCTGAATTTTTGCTCGAACGCAGAATTTGGTTCGGACCATGTTTTTTTGTCCTTCGATGCGTGGTGACATGCGCGCGCGGAGGCCCAGAAGGGAAGGGGGGGGCGATGGGGGCAGAGACGGAGGCACGTGGAGAAAGAGAGGCACACGGGGAGCCCAGAACTCCCACCTTCACCTTCCCTCTCCTCCCACACTGACGCCCTCTCCTCCTCCTCCTCCTCCTCCTCCTCCTCCTCCTGCTCCTCCTCCTCCTGCCCCTCCTCCTTCCTCCTCCTCCTCCTGCTCCTCCCCTCCCCTCTCCTCCTCCTGCCTCCCCCTCCCCCTCCTCCTCCTCCTCCTCCTCCTCCTCTTCCTCCTCCTCCGCCTCCTCCTAGCTCCTCCTCCTCCTCCTCCTCTCCTCCTCCCTCCTCCACTCCCATCCTCCCTCCTCCCTCCTCCTCCTCCTCCTCCTCCTCCTCCTCCTCCTCCTCCTCCTCCTCCTCCTCCTCCTCCTCCTCCTCCTCCTCCTCCTCCTCCTCCTCCTCCTCCTCCTCCTCCTCCTCTGCCTCCCCCTCGGGGCGGACGACGGCAACGATCGGCGGGCGTCGTTGCCGCTCGGCGGCGCGCCGCTGGCGGGCCGGCGGCGGCGGCGGCGGCAGGGAGAGGGAGCCGTCAGGCCAGGATCCGCCGGCATCGAATCGGGAGCTCGGCTTCAATCGAGTGGTGCGTCGGATCCTCGATGGGGGTGCGTCCGAATAGGCGGGAGGAGGATGATGATGATGAGGAGGAGGAGGAGGAAGAGGAGGAGGAGGAGGAGGAGGAGGACGAGGAGGAGGAGGAAGATGAGGAGGAGGAGGTGGAGGTGGAGGAGGTGGAGGAGGAGGTGGAGGAGGAGGTGGAGGAGGAAACAAATGGCGTGCTACAGCTCGACGCCGCGCTCCGTGATGATGAGGAAGTCGTGGGCTGTGTGGTGGGAGCGACGAAGCTTGCTGGCCAAACCGACGTCGTTGCGCCACACAGCGCGAGCAATCTGCCTGGCGAGCAAGAGAAGCGTGGTGATGGACTCGGGGTCCGCGAAGAAGGCCCTGTCGCGCACATCCCTGGCAACCTCTAGAACCACCTACTTGTGAAGCTTCACTTGCCTCGGTGGCGACAGTGACGCGTAGTCGAGCTGAGAGGAGACGTCGTGCAGCAGCTTCTGGAAGAGAGAGGACTCGAAGATGTGCCGAGGGATCCTCTAAACGCCACCAGGCTTGAGACGCCGCTGATTGAACTTCACCTTAGGCGCTGCGTGGTCGTTGAGGAGCTTATCGGCAAGGACCTCAGGCGCGTCAATGACCGTGGGCTCCGACGTGAGCTGCGTGAGGGCCCAGCCAGGCCAGTCTATCGAGAATCGACACGGAGTGGGAGTGCCTGTCCTAGTGAGTCGGCTCCTCGGACGAAGTGATCTCGGTGACGTGGCGAAGAGCGAGCGTGTAGCCAGCGCGACACATGAGCATGCTGTCCTGTGCCTTCCACAAGAGGCCGACCAGGTTGGTGAAACAAGAGAGGAGCCCGAGGAGACAACATGAAGTCGCCGTGCGCCACGACGAGCCTGAGGAGTGGGTCGCGCTGTGCAGCTGTAAGGTCCGACTCCATGGCCGCGAAGATCTGCCGCGGCTGCTTGTGGGAGAACTCGTGGTTGTGTACATTGTAATGATTCAAATCGTCTCGTCCAAGCGAAGGGCTGCTCGTAGAACGCGCCCAGGGACAAGAACAGAAGGCTGAGCAACAGCCGAACACCCCTCGGGAAGAATAGTCGCAACGCCACCCTTGACAGCAGAGGCCACGCAGTAGCTGGCGTATGTGCGAAGCCTTGGCGAGGCCGTGGCTAGGGCGTCTTGGTGTTGAGCTTGGTCCTGGTGCAGCTCCTGCAGGCACGCGATGCAAAGTCGAGCCTCTTGGCGTAGCTGAGCTTGGCCTTGCCGTGCGCCCCTTGGTCCTGTAGCAACGCCCTGGTGCTCCACGAGGTGAGGGCCAAGGAAGGCGCGCCTAGCATGCGTCCGTGAAACAGCACAGAGAACGGGTCAAATCTTCCACTCGGCCGTCTCTGGCGGAGCGACGATGGCCTTCGCAGCGGGGACGAGCGCCGCCTTGTCGAGGCCCGGCTTGACGACAAAGTTGTCGGCCCAGGATAGCCCCCGTCGCGACGTTGCCAGGCTGCGGGGGAAGTCAGAGGACAGGATCCCGCCCAGCCATGAGGTAGCCGCGGCCGCGACC